CAACTTCCATTTAAATTCTGCATTTATATAAATCAGAAGATATTAGTATGAAGAACGTTCATACTTTTTTATAAGATTAATTCAATATAATGTATTAAAGAGAAGGAAGATGAATGTAAGAAAATATAGCAAGTATGACTGGGAATATCAGTTTGAATCTCTGGTCCATGTGCTCTGCAATGCAAAGAAAATACAATCTAAGCTAAGACTCCTGCAAAACAATGAACGGTTGGTTACTTTGCTGAATAGTGCCATATATGTATGTGATTTCCATCTGAGGGAACTCACATGATGGAAAGCAGTTGTTGCTGGGGAAAAGTAAAACAGAAGAGATGCCCTATACAGGAACTTCAGTCATTTTGATGAGAGTCACTGATTTAAACCTGTTAATTGAGAACTGTTACTACAGAAACAATTAATTCAATTCCAGTATTTTCCAGCAGATGTCCTCACAAGTCAGTACTGTCAGAGAGACCAGAGATGCCACCATAACAAATTCTGGGGTGGGGAATGAAAGGAGAATAGATTTAAATGGAAGTGGTATGAAAAACCTTTAAACAAAAACAAGGTAATTGCAAAAATACACCATTTTATTTATCATTCTTAAATATAATATGGAAAGACTATAAAGGAAAAGTAAAAAACATATGGCCTATCACTGAAATATGAATGAATAAACAGCTCTAAAATGGGCATTCATGGTACTTCAGTTCTCTTGTTAGATTTTCTATCTCCTTCTCCAGCACTGAAAAAGCCAAAGGTTCTAAAGGCGATTTTCTATCATTTTAAACATTGACATGTGAAGAATGAACAGCATATTTCAGTTGAGGAACAGTATAAAACTCTGCACAATAATCCCCTTCTCCCAGGTAAGAATGTCAGTATAAACCTTGTTACAGGCACACAGTTCATGTTATTCTGCCTGCACTATTTGTTAGTAGTGGCAAGGACATACAAACGTTGTCACCAAACAGTTTCCTGTAAGCACAAGATGCCTTGGGTATTCTTGTAAAATTCCAAGCAGATGAATTTATAAACAAAGATGATCCCCAGAGCTAGCTCAATAACTGCGAAGTTTTAATACCACAGTAAAATATTTATCTTACTTGTTCTTTCACAAAGTGAACAATCAATTCTCGGTACATTGATATCTGTATAATTCTACAATAAAATATTAAGATCTGCTTAGCTACAGATTCACTGACTCAATCATGTATTGTTTCTGGAAAGTTATAAGTAATTTCCCAAGGGGGTATCTGATTACAAAGAACTTGACCTTCTATTAACAAAAAACAAAAACCAACCAAACCAGAAGTATTTCAGATTGTCATTATAGCCGCTCCCCGAGTTACAACCACCTCTACTTACGACCATCTGCACTTACAACCAAAGAGGTTGTAAATGCGGATCCGAGTTACAAACGGCGATCCGTGCTTACGAACAGCGTGGTCGCCATGTAACTCTATGGGATGTGAGTTATGAACACTTCGAGTTACAGACCAACTGTTGGTCCGTAACTTGTTCGTAACTCGGGGAGTGGCTGTACTATGAGGCCAGCTCCTCAAGCCACATACACAGGGAAAGCTTGGAATTACAGTACATATGCAAATTCAATTCAATTACTAATGGACATAATCAAGATATGGGATGGTGGACCCTTTATCACTGAAGGTGCTAACAGCTTTCTGAATGAAACAAAAAACAGGACTATGTAGCACTTTAAAGACTAACAAGATGGTTTATTAGGTGATGAGCTTTCGTGGGCCAGACCTACTTCCTCAGATCAAATTGTGGAAGAAAATTGGCACGACCATATATACCAAAGGATACAATAAAAAAAATGAACACATATGAAAAGGACAAATCAAATTTCAGAACAGAAGGGGGATGGGGGGGAGGTAAATGTCTGTGAGCTAATGATATTAGAGGTGATAATTGGGGAAGCTATCTTTGTAATGGGTAAGGTAATTAGGGTCCTTGTTAAGACCTAGGTGTAAGGTGTCAAATTTTAGCATGAATGACAGTTCAGAGGATTCTCTTTCAAGTCTGGTGTTAAAAGGTCTTTGAAGCAGGTAATCAGGTTGTTGAGACAAAGCCCTTTCTGGTTGAAATGGCAAGAAACTGTTTTTTCTTTCTGATCCTGTCTAATATCTGTTTTGTGGGCATTGATTCTTTGGTGAAGTGTCTGAGACGTTTGTCCAATGTACATAGCAGATGGACATTGCCGGCACATGATAGGATAAATTATATTTCTGGATGAGCAGGAATATGTGTACTTGATCTTATAACTCACTTGGTTAGGTACAATAATGGTATCAGCAGAGTGAATATGTGGACAAAGCTGGCAACAGGGCTTGTTGCAAGGGAAAGTTCCAGGGTTGGTGTTAGTGGGGTATGTCCTGTGGTTGTTGGTAAGAATCATCTTGAGGTTAGGTGGTTGTCTATAGGAGACTATGGGTCTGTCTCCCAGAGCCTCTCGGAGTTTAGTATCCTGTTCCAGTATAGGTTGTAGTTTATTGATAATGTGTTGGATGGGTTTAAGTTGGGGGCTGTAGGTGATGACAAGTGGTGTTCTATTGTTGGCTTTCTTGGGTCTGTCTTGAAGTAGATGGTTTCTGGGTATTCGTCTGGCTCTTTCAATTTGTTTTTTTATTTCTCCAGGTGGGTAGTTGGGGTTTATAAATGCTTGGTAGAGATTGCTTCAAAGACCTTTTAAACCAAACTTTAAAGAGAATCCTCTGAACTGTCATTCATGCTAAAATTTGACACTTTATACCTAGGTCTTAACAAGGACCCTAATTACCTTACCCATTACCAAGATAGCTTCCCTAATTATCACCTCTAATATCATTAGCTCACAGACATTTACCTCCCCCCCCATCCCGCTTCTGTTCTGAAATTTGATTTGTTCTTTTCATATGTGTTCATTTTTTAAATTGTATCCTTTGGTATATATGGTCGTGCCAATTTTTTTCCACAATTTGATCCGAGGAAGTGGGTCTGGCCCACGAAAGCTCATCACCTAATAAACCATCTTGTTAGTCTTTAAAGTGCTACATAGTCCTGTTTTTTGTTTCAGCTACACCAGACTAACACGGCTACATATCTATTAGCTTTCTGAATGGTAACCTTCCTGCCTTACCAATCTATCCACTGACTTCGATCTTTACCTACTCAGATTCAGCAACCCTGTCTCCTGATACTTTATGTAGAGAGGTAGAGGGGTGGGCGACAAAGCATCTTTCTCCCCCCCCTTCCTTCTCCTATTTATTTCGAGTTTTCTTATCCCCTAGTCATAACTCCAGTCATCTGAAGAAGTGGGCTGTGCCCACGAAAGCTCATGATACCATCTACATGTTTTGTTAGTCTATAAAGTGCTACCAGACAATTTGCTTGCTGTTTTTTTCTGTAAACTAAGTCGGCTACCCCCTGAAGCACTATGAGTAAAGGATATCCAATTAAATTTTAGTGCTTATGTAAGGGAAAGTTAACACTAACCAAAGCAAATTAAACGTTACAAAGTGGTGTGAATGTTTCACCCCAAACCTCACTTCATCCAAATTATAATCTTGATACAACCACTGCAGTGTTCTATTAAGCATTCATCACGAGCTAGGTTTAAAATACAAACTTTGCTGTTTCTGAACTGTTTTGTGTTTATCATGATTATTTGGGTGTTCTCAAATCACTCTGACATTCAATGTGCTTTGAGCACCTGATTCCCTTAGGCTTCTTTAAAAATCCTGCCTATAAGTAATAACGTTCTCCTTCCTCGCTATCAGAGCTACTGCTGTTAGTTTTGTGGAAATGCATGTATATCCATCTTCCTGAGTTTTTCTGTGGGCCCCATCTGCATAGTACCTGACTTTCTAGTTGTGGATTAGAATCTGCACAAAAGAAGTACTTCTTTGGAGAGGCCGTTTTCCCAAAGGAGAGAAAACATCTGATGAAAAATTTCTGAACCACCTTGTGAAAATGAATAGGAAAACAAATTGAGATGCTTTATCCTCTTGTGTGAAAGCTTGCAAACATTTTAATGGATCACTGTCTCTGATAATGGTGGAGCATACATAGGCTTGTTGAAATTTAGGGGATGAAGGGACTTCAAGAAGTCATTTAGTCCATCCATAGCCAACTGTTAAATGAAACTCAAGAAATCAGTTGATGTTGTCAACGTTCTCTCTTTTATATTTTCTATACCTACAACTATGTGAAAGTTGATGCTCTTGTCAGTATGTCATCTGACATTTCAATAGCATAGATGGCTGTATTCCAGGAGGCTTATTGTGCTTTTTAAAAAAATGGCAATTTTTTCACTTGATGTCCATGAATTACCTTGTTTTAATGAGGCAGAAATGTCATGCATCTTGAGCAATTAATAAAACATTTTACATAACAGCAGTTTGAAGTTGAAATAATATCCTTGGCTTGCTGGAGAGACTCTGAATATAATTTATCCTGAGAAGCTATTATTGCGGGTTCTAGAATCTGAAAAGCAAGTCAGAAATAGTAAATTACAATGTTTGAGTATTCTTAGCTTATGCACAGGGTCCTCTTCAATTGTCCCTGAGTGGACATATTCTTATTTTCCTTAATCACAGACTGAAGCCCAGAACAATTTGGTAATATAAATATTTCCAGTTTAAATAATGGATGAAAATACATGCATGAAAACTTACAACTAGATGGCAGCTACAGTTTATCGCTTGTTTGTTCAGATTTAACCCCTTGATTTCTCTCTTCCTTCTGAAGCAGATATTAAGAATGTTGTTTCCAAACACAGATCTGCTCTAGAAACACTATCACCAAAATATACAACTATACAAAGCCATACATAATACTAAAGCAAAATAATTCATGGTCAGATTTTCCTTGTGGTTCTGGGCTCATTATGCAAATGTGTCAAAGTAAAAAAAACATAACCCACTGATAGACTATGTCACCAAAATGTGACTGTTTCCCAGTAACTGTGTAAGGATAACTGTACGCATCTCCAAAGAAACAGAGGATGTTATTTTATTGGATGTCTGCAGGTAACCTTATCACACAAAGGAGCGGAAGAATCTGTGGTATGGCACAACACAGTATCTTATTCTAAACAACTGAACAGAAGTTTAAATGATATGTAGCATGATAAAAATCAGCAGCCCTTCATATTTTAGGTACCACTGATTCATTTAAAATAAAATTTAATACATTGAAAAAATAACATTGACCATTGGTTAGTCTGTTGCACCATCTTTAAATGAAACAGTACTTTGAAATTCACAAATAAAAAAGCAGCACTCTCTTTTAATACCAACACCACTGTAACACATACCTTAGCGTGGCATGCAAATCCACATCTGCAGTCATTTTTTGTATTAACAAATGGAATGGATATTTTCTATTTCAATATTAGTAGCATAACATGTAAGTGCAGATCATTCTGGCCACAAGAGTGGTAAGCCTTAACAAGTGTGTATTACAAGAGCATAAAACACATAGCATGACACTTACATCCAAGAATCTCTCTTTTTTTATACTGTAACAAAGGCCATCCTACAGGAAGAATTCCAAGTTGCTGGACCCCGACCTTCAGTTAAGAGGATTACTGACCATTCCTGGTTTTATTTAAAAATAGAAGCAGTCATCAAAGCAGAACCACTAACAATCCAGTCAAAAGAATGCCATAGTTCCATTGAAAAAATAATGTGTCCATTTAGCAAACTCCATTACATGGGAAAGTTTTCATTATATAGGCATGTTAAAGTCTTACAGTGGTACTGTAAAGTCTTTCCTGTTGCATAAATGTTTGTACAACCACTATGATATGGTATAATAGCAATAAAAATTGGTCAAACTGAGCTAAGTTTCACAAGACCACGCACTGAGTCTTCATGCAATGAATCTTGGCTGGCTAGACTCAGGACGTGCATTGTATGGCTGTGAGTTATAGGGCTCCCTGCAGGCAGCATACCAGGAGGTGATGGAGCTTCTTCAGGAGTGAGAAACTGATGACCTTCATGTTCCTCTTTTAATGGTATCATGTCTGTCAAACCTGTTTCTGATGAGAGATTTGGCATGGAGGACGGTGGTGTCGGCTGCCCTAGGGTTAGCGTGGCACAAGGAGCACCGATAGTGGTCTTTCCTGGTAAAGACAGCTCTTCGCTAGTTATGCTGTGTTCACTCTGTAGTAGTGGTGTGGCAGCAGCCTGTAAAACGAATTTAGTGCTCTGAATGCACTGATCTTGATCACACTGAAGAGGGTCAAAACCCATATAGGGCAAACAAAACAGAAATGGGAGGATGTGGACAGAAGAGGCATGGAAAAAAAATGGGATGTGAGAAGAAAGAAGAGAGTCATTAGTATCATTCCATGGTTAGACAGCTGACAAAAAAAGAGCATGCATAATTAAACCAGCTGCATTCTAGGATAAAAATTAGAATAGATTACGATAAACATTACAGTATATGAGAGTCAGGTACTTCTATTAACTAAAGCGGTATTTTCTGAATAATTATTCCCATTTGAAAATCTTGGTAACGCCTACTGATCAGGTTTTGCTTGGTTCACTGCATATTTGGACAAAAGTGGCAAATCAAATGTCGCTGACTCCAAAAACACTTCAGCATGCAACAGGACAACTTTAACACAGCTCCTGTTACTTTAGGAAGCCAAGAAGTCAGACAAAAAATCCTAAGCCGTATTTCAAATATCTTTTTGAGTTTTAGAGCAGTAGGTTAGTCTCCTTTCTATTTATTCAATCAGTCCTAACATAACCTAAGAACTATTGTGCTATAGAAGAGTTTCTTCAGGGCAAACATCTCATTGCATGCAATCAGTTTTGTAAAAATTCAGCAAGTAACACTGTCTCATTGCCCAAGATTTTGCTTCCCAGGTTGTGTAAGTCATTAATATTCTTCAGCCAGGGGTTATGTACAAAACAATTATCAACCTGCAGCTTCACTACATGGACCCGATAGAAAAGTACATCTCCATGATTTGTTATGCTGCTTATTCATATGTTTAATTTTGACACTGTATAGGACCAAAATGTACCCGATTAAACCATTTTTTTCTTGCAAGCATTTCATATTTTTATAAACCTAATGGGCCAAATTCACACAGACGTAACCCTATCTAAGCCAGTCAAATTACACCAGGAATTAATGTAACCTAGAATACTTTACCAGCAGGGCATTTTTACAAAATTAGTAAGTGAATTGGGTGGCTGAGTGGTAAACCACAAAACTGGAATATTTCTAACTGAAAACTGAAACGCATTAATGGGCAAACCATTGATTGGCAAAGATATTGTCCCTTCTTCAAAAAATCTATATCAAGGCATCAGTTTTGATGTATATGCCTATTAAGAAGTATACTACCACTTACAGTCTAAGGGTAATCAAGGGAGCTCTGCCCAACTTAGCGCTTGGCTATGTAAACAAGAGGAGGTAGATGAGAGAGAGAGAGAGAGGCAGGAGAGGAAGCCATGTATGCTGTAGTGAGTGGTGATTTCTCTGTCTCCAGGAGACTAATTAAACTCAGATACTTGGTGTTATGTCAGGGACTTCTGAAAGAGTTCTGAGGTGACGGCCTTATGAACTGTTTGTTGTAATTGCTCCTTTCCCTATGATTTATTTAAGAGGACATGCTATTTTATTGTCCTAATCAGAGGAAATTAAGGTGGAGCATAGCACTATACTCACACTCCTGAGTGTAAGCTTTGCCAACATAAGCTATAGTGTAAACATAGCCTTAATTGCCTGCCACTACAATGGTCTTGGGCATTGGTATACCACTCAGATCCCCCACCAAGCAAAATGGTTCCACAGAAGCTACAATAAAATGTAGTGTATAATAACCATATAATCATGGTACAAATATTGTAAGTGGCTTAGGAGCATAACTCCCTTATTCTTTAGTATGACTTAGGCAATATTGAAACTTTCACTCATCCTTTAGTTTGTATACTCCTTATATAGTTTCATCTTCCAGAATGATGTTTCCATTGATTTTAAAATACATTCTTTTCTTTCTTACATTCTTCTTATTCAAGGCTTTATGGTGAGTATTCTGGCCTAGATCAAGCAAAGCACTGAAGCATTTAATTTGTGCCATATGACTTCAAAAGCTTAAACATGCTTCAGTGCTCTGCTGGGCAGGCACAAAGTGCTTATCACCTTGCAGGGTCAAATCCTTGGATTGATTATTCATAATGGCTCTTTTACCCCATCTCAAGTAATTAACTGAGTTATAACCCCTGCATCAATCTTATTACAAATTCCCAGCACAAATGGGATCAGCATTCTAATCCTTCCAAAGAGATATCAAATTCCATCTCCTCTGAGAAGTGCTTATCAAAGACTATATTGTGACACGAAGCCTATAACCACCAGAGCATATTCATAATAAAAAAAATTAGTAGCTGATTTATTGCCTTAGTGATGTTTCAGCATTTATCTTGAAAAGCAGAGAATTGCCTAATGTGTTCCAGCACCATAAGTATACAATTTAAAATAGCATGAAGGTAATTTATTTTGATTTATATAATAGTCTGTATTAAACCATTTTATTGAATTCTAATTCATTTTAACTGAATGTACACCTCAATGATACTAAGAAAATAGATTAATAAAGCTCCATTAAAAATAAAGGCATACACCTATCAGAGTTTCATGTGAGTAAAACAGAATTCTCTTTTTTTCCTTGTCTTCTATGGGTCCTCCCCTTATTTAAAACCACCTCCATCTTCTTTCAAGTCCCTCTTTAAAAAATACTCCTTCCAACAAGCCTACACACCCAAGACCTCCCTTCAGGGGAGCATTCATAACAATTATTGGGGGGAAAAAAAAGGAATCTAACAAGATGCATATTATACTTCACTATTCATTCACACTGCTTTTGTTGATTCCTTGACTTTGTGTACTGTCTACTACCCTAGATTTCAAACTCTTCATGGCAGGCACTATGCCTTTTTACATGTTTGTAAGTCCCCTTGCTCATTGTTGGTGCTATATACAAAATATTACTAAAAACCAGTGTATTGCACTCACTTCTTACTCTGTTTTAAGATGGTTTCCTAGTGTAGTTAGGCCAGTTCATATATACACTACAATAATTATTAAAGATCTATACACTGTCCACTTGTGATAGCAATACATTATTTTCATGGGTTAACTAAAGGAAAGAGAACAGCTAGAACAGATCAATTAATCTATAGAGCTTTTTTGTTGTTCAGATGTGCCATTTCTTTACATGGCCTCTGTTCAGGTTTCCATTATTCTGTATGTCAATCAAATATGCAACTTCATTAGTAAAATATAACAGTAAACAGTTTTCCATAATCTCAAGCATACAAATCTTGGGACACACTAGTTTTTAAATTTTTCTCAGAATGGACTGTAGTGGGATTTATATTATAAAAGATAAATGCATGAAATGAATCTCTCCATTTTATAGCATTTTTATGCAAATATAGCACTCTGATTTGTGATATACACAAGCTACTAATCCTCTCACCCCCCCCAAAAAAGAAAAAGATTTGTCTATAAAGATATTATGATGGTGTTCCCTGATTACACGATATGTTTCCTGGGTTACACAAAGTACAGGGGGAAAATGTTAGTAGACAGTGCCCTCAAAGATATTTCATTTAATTTTTCAAAGTTAAAATTTTAGATGACCCCCCCCCAAGAAACAGTAGCAATGGGGAATTAAACTATTTATAGCTCAATTTTCAAACAGATTCAAGTTAACCCCTTGACTGCTTCTTCCTCTAGATCCTATCATCTGAGTCTGTTTGCTTTACACATCTCCCCCCTTTTTACTGGAGCAGCTAACTGAGCATGAAAAATACTGGATTGAAGTGCTTGTAAGTACACAAGTTCAATTGTGTACATTATTTAAACACATCTATATGGAAATCTGTCATTTTGATATTTATTATACACCAACAGCCATGTACCAAATGCAAATTAGACAACATAAAAAAGCTAATTCTTTATTTTACAAATAATTGATACAAAGTGTATAAACACAGCTTTTCTGAAGAAAATGTGATTTTTACGCCATACAATATATATTAGAATTCTTGTTCATATTAATACAGCTCTCACACTAATACCACCACCAGAAATTCTATTTGTTTTAAATGCAAAATTAACTTAATAGCTAAATTTCTCTAACAGCAATAATAGCTTTAAAAATGTTACAATTCTTGATTTACAAAAAGGCTGCACAAAAGAGTTCTCTAATGAGTTACAAGTAAAACACAACAATAACAAATGGTTAAGAGAAGGACTGATTGAACTGAATGGTGGAATTATAACCTAGTGGGCACTACTGAAACCTGGTGAGATTCAACACATAACTGGCATATCAGTTTAGATGGGCACAATCTATATATGAAAGATGGCGGGATGGAAGATGAAACTGTAAATCAATACATATAATGCCAGCAAGCTATATTTTGACAATAGGATGATGATACACTTGGTAAGATGGAAGGAATTGTGTTCCTGCAGTGCCCAGTACAGTGGGGCACCAATCTGATGCTATCATAACAGAAATATTTACTACTACTACTACTACTACTAATTATAATGATGGAAGAATGAAAAGCGAAGGGGGAAGTATAATGCTACAAATGGAGTAAGAATTACATTTTCATGGATCAAGTCTCAAAGTGCTAAAAAACATAAATCCTTTCATGACTATCCTTATCCAAACATCTTGAGGGAAACAAACAACTGTATATGTATAAAAATTATTCCTAGGATTTTTGGAGGGCAGCTTTATGACTCTAATCAGAGGCTCCATATCTTGCAAAAAGTAAGATAACAGAGGACTGAGAATAATAAAGGAACTTGGCACCAGTGATTGTAAACAGCCAAGGTACCAAAGAACAGATGCCTACAATGCAATAGTATCAATGTTAGATTTCAAAAAAGGAAGTTTTAGGGAAATTAAGAAATGGACCAACAATGATGTGAACAGTGGAAATGTTAAGATTTATAATTGGTAACAAGGTGTAGAATCGTAAGAGACACCATTTTTAACAACAAACCGCTATTCCTTGGGGAGGAGGCAGGTAAATGCACAGAATGAAAGTATTAAATGTTGCTTTATAATGGATTGCCAAAAGAACAGAAGCTAAAAATTCCCTGTATTAGATATCAAATAAGAAAACAAAGACTCAATTCAGGCTCATAAGGAAAAGAATAAAGACAAGAAAATGCAGACTGACTTAGTTGC